TTCTTTGGAAAGATCACAAACAATCGTCATGTTACCTGCTCTTCAAATGACCTCAGTTTGGAGAAACACAAATCATTCTGACTCTAAAATGTCACGCCAGCTGAAGGAGTCAAACATCCTTTGTTTAAATACACCTGCTGTTTCATTGTATTCATTCATCATTGATAGTTTATTTTTGTGGACCCCCCCCCCCCCCCCCGCGCACCCCCCCACCCCACCCCCACCCCTTTTGTCTCTTCCTTTCTCTTTCACCTCTGTCTCCATGAGTACGTTTACAAGCAGCCAATATCCGGGTTATGATCGGGTTAAGGTCGGTATTCGGGTTTCTGAGTTGATCAGAATAACCCGTTTACAAGCATAAATAGAAAGAGTTACCTCTAACTTGCATAACCCGATTTAAATGCGGATGTTGGGGTAGCGTCAGGACGTATGGACTACGTCCAGACGCAATATGCGTCATTTCCGGTTATTCTTGTTCCGGTATCCGTGAAAACAACAACATGTTTCCCAGTTCGGAAGAGATAGCGACCGCGTTTGTTTGCGCTTTCGTTTCCTCGTCACTCCAAAAGTGTGGCGCTGTGCCGCGACTCGCCATGTTGCTCCCAACTTGTTGTTTACTTCCGGTGTTCTGGCGCATACAAGACGTCTCGCTACTCAAAAGACCAAGATTCCTTGGGAACAGAGCTTGAGCAGAACACACGCTTTGATGGGGATATCCCGATATGCGTTTACACGACCAAACATTCGGGTTAGAAAAGGGTTACCCCAGGTGTGGTAACCAGGTTTTTAAAAACCCGGTTATGAGCATATCCAGGTTTTTGGCGGTGTTTACATGGCCTTTCGGAACCGGGTTATTGCGAATATTCGGGTTTTAAAAGGGTTACTGGCTGCATGTAAACGCACTGATTAAAAGCAGAAGCTTTGATGCTCCACCTGAGAGTAAATCTGTAAGGCTTGTCACCAGCATTCAGACATCAATTCTGTTTGCTTCACAGCCAGACAGGACACGGGGGAAAAAATAATAATAAAGAATACATCTGCTGTGGTCTTTAATAAGACTGAATGGCTTTAGTTGCTTTCTGTGGAAAAGGCTCTGTAATGAAGGTAATGAAAACAATGTTGAAGATAGCAAAGGTTTCTAAAATCACATTTCCACAAACCAATTTGGCATTTTTGAGGTCAGAGTTGTTTTGACACCTTTAGGGTTTTCACATCTGGGACGGCCCGGTCCAGCCCTGGTAAGTTTATGTTCACATCTCAGTAATCTGGGCGTTTTCCATGCTCAGCCAACCGGTTTATTTGGACCTGCTCTCCGGTGGTCAGCATCATGCCAAGCCAACCCACCACACCTACTACCGACCGATTGACCAGCTGAAGTTCATGCCTACCTATAGAGGGAGCCTCTGATAGGTGGCAAGAATCAGCCAGCAATGACATCCCGCATGCCCTCATGCACGAAACGTTATCTCTGGATGCAGTGGAGTAAACATCTTCTCTGACTGAAGCTCGGAACCACCGCTCCAGCCGCCGGAGCACGAGGACAGACTGCTGTGAGGAGCACATGACGCAGCGTGCTTCATATCAGAGTCTCCAAAAGCAACACTGCTCACAGCTGCCTTTACTAACCCTAACTTAAGGAAAACAACTCAGACTTCTCCGCAGGTCTTTTGCCCTACCCACAAGCTCAGAGACATCCACGCTCTTGAGAAGGCTATATGAACACAACCTGGCCATGCGGGGGCGAGCGGACGCCACCAAGACCATACTGAGCCAGGCCAGATGTGAAAACGCTATTTGAAATGACTCTAAACTGGCTGCTCAAAGAGCTTTTTACAAAGCTAAGTTGTTGTTGATTGTTGATGAACTTTCCATAAAAACCTACTTTTGACTGGTATTCCCAAAATACAATGAAGTTTTCACTATCAGAAAATGTAGGGGTGGGAAGCTTCCTCCAGATGCTGCAACACAACTTAAACAAGAGATGGTTCCTGGGTTGTCTTCACAGATGTGCAGCAAAAACACAAACACAATCATTAACAAAACAGTGTTAAATGAGATGACCTTTGTGAGGTTGTTCCACAAAGGCCTCTCTCTCCTAAAGCTGGGTTGCTTTTGTGTAACAAACCATGCTGCACCTTTGGGGAAGGTTAAAGTAAAAGGGCATTCATTTCCCTGTAGATTGCACAGGGAATTGAGGCCTGCTCAATCAATACAAACCAAATCAGTGATGGTCATAGAAATCAAAAGAATATGGCCGGCTGTGTGTATGTGTGCGTGCCCGGAGTCAGTTCTCCAGTGACTGGGACATGACAGAAAACAGAGTGATGAATATAAGTAAACAAGGCAATGACAGAGGTCTGGTGGTGCTCTGTCAAACATCTGTATTTTCTGTTTCAAGCCTGTCTTTGTTTCCCCTGAGTGAGTCACACTCACGCTGTACGCCATTATGACCTTTTTATTATAAGGCAGCAGGAAACGAAAATGTAGACTTAGTTCCAGTCAGATGTAGAAATGTGAGCGTTTGTGGTCGTTAGGAGGGTATTAGAGCAGATGCTTATGATATTAAGCCGCTTGAGATGAGTTTGACAAAGTACTAACAGAAAGAGTGTATTTAGGTTTTTGTGGGACTTTAACTAAAACACACAAGTCATAAATGTAGGGATGCAGGAGCAATGGTGGGGAACCAATGGGCTTCCTGCATCTGGTTTTCATTGTAAAGAGGATGTGTGTTTCGGATTAAAACTGACACCACCTCCACTGCTTTTCCTCAAACTCTGAAACAACCATTTACAGCTTCACCATAAAGGTTGAGTGTTGATTAAATACCCCCATCTTTCACTGACCTGAGATAAGAGTTATAAAATATGTAATTAAGCTCTTGCATGCTTCAAATCCATTGTGAGTTTGGAGCAGTGATAGATTATACAGCGACTGGCATCTCTCTCCTCTCACACTCAGAGGCAGTGTGCATCGTTTCCACCTTGCTGACTTTCTGACATCTTTCTGGGGTTCAGGGCAGACAGAGGAGCGACCTCAGAAACAAGAGCATCTCCCAGTGAGGCGCACAAGGCGGCGTTCTGCTTCATGCTCCACTGCCTGCTGCCACTGTCCTGTATTATTATGCTGCCAAGAAATTTAATTCCAAGGATCTGAGAGGCACGTGCAGCAGCGGGCAAACGGGAGGTGACGTGAAAGGGGATGAATGCGCACTGGCCGAAGTCGTGTTAACGAAGTGACTGACACAAACACTACTTCACAGGGCTGAAAGCAGGAGGCAGGTACATCCCTCAGAGATTACAGTGCACTGAAACCGTGAAGAGCAGCATCAAATCACATCAATGCAGCTTTGTGGAAGAGCAACATGAGATAAGCCCTAAGGGAAGCACTTAAAAGATTGCAGACTCAGGACTGAGTGTGAACTTTGAAAGATCGAGTGAGAGTCTCCTCTTCTTCAGCTTCAGGCTCAATTCTGGTCCAAGAGAGCTCTGAAGGTCTGACCTTGATTGGAGCCGATAGCTTAGGCTCTCCTCTCCAAGGCCAGGAGAAGCTAATCTTTTCTCATGGGCCAAAGAGAGCACGAACCTGGAAAAGGAAGCTGAGGCCTTAACATGAATCCTCTGGTGTACCTTGTCCTTTCCTCTCCTGTGTTTGTGCTGAAGATTATTCACTTAGAGCAAAGACCGCCTTTTAAAATGATTGAAATCCTAAAATAACAAGAAAAGAAACTGACTTTAAAAAGACTTTAATTCCTCATGGCAAAGGTTGAGATCTGTTCCTGATCGCTGCCTATCTACCCCTGATGTGTGATCAACACTTTCTGTACTTATTTTATGAATAAGTAATGATTTTTGAAACCCTGCTCTGAAGATTTGTTACCAACAGGTCACCTGACAGAAGAAAAACATGAAACCTCGCCTGTCTGTTTGATCGTGGGAGTTTAACAAACTATCAGAGGCTGATGGATGCAACTCTGACGCAACAACAGCCACCACACAACCATCCATCGCAATTACACACCTGTGTGCACGCCAGCAGCTGAGCTACAGCACGGCAAATGATCCGTGCTCAGCTCAGCTGAACGCTGACGTTAAATGACTTGGAAAATAGTCCCACTTTGCACTGTAGATAAAAGCGGTGAGGATCGAGGCAGCAAGTGATGAGGCATCAGGAAAAGATAAGCGAGCCACGGGTTCATTGTCAAGTCAGAATGACATTGTTATCGATCTAAAAGTGCAACTTCCTTTTCACTGTGTTTTAATCCCATCTTTATGCAGCAGCTTATCGAGCTAATGTGGGACTGATGTGTGCTACCCGTATGCCAACATGTGAAGGCTCTTCCAGACTAAATTCTTAACCGTTGGTCATCCTTTTTGTCTTGTCACTCTCGCTGAATTTGCTTTATAAAGCTGCAAGTTTTTTCCTTCACTGCTCAGCAACGATCTAGGGTTTTCTGACGACTTTATTTCAAGTCATTACTTTATGCAGATGTTGCAATGAAGGTGGAGATGATTTCTGAGCAACAGCAGGGTCTGACTTGGGGGTTTCAGAGCAAAACAAAAGGAATGCGGGGTGGGGAGGATGGGGGTTGGTGACTGGTGTCCATGTTAAGCTGCCCTCAGCAGCACCAGCTAGGGTGCTGTGTTGGTTTTCCCTAATTTTACATCCTTTTAGGTGTAATATGTTCTCCATGAGGCCAGTGTGAGTGGCACGTTGGTGAAATCTTACACCATGGGAAACGTCGTCAACTGATGGCTCACTCTGAGCTCGCAGCTCAGGGTAAAGCTCTTCATCAGATTTTTTCCCCCTTTTCGTCTGACTTCTGGTGCAAAAAGCGTCTCGGTTTCCCTTTTTGAGAAAACATATGTGGGCAATAGCTGCCATGTGAATAAGAAACTGCAATCATAAAAAAACAGGAGTCTGATTGTGCCCAATTCAACCTTGTAATGCAGTCATGATGTGATTACATGTAAAGAAAATGGTTCACACATGCACACACTTACCTAGGCAATTGTGCCCGTCATGAGCCAGGCGGAAGCCGTCGTAGCACGTGCACCTGTAGTTTCCTGGGATGTTGATGCACTCGTGCACACAGCCACCGTTGTACTCAGTTGCACATTCGTCAACATCTGCAAAGACAAAAAATGTATCAGAAGTGATCGCTTCAATAACATGTTTATGCTTTACAAAGAGATATATGAGATTAATAAATCACTGGTGAGTAATCGCTTTGTTTGAATTTAAAATGTACCCAGCTAGGATAAACAGAAAATCTTCATTAGATCATTCTTATTCTAATACAAGTAAATATCATTGTGCTGTAACCAAAATAAATGTATTAAAATTCTAGAATTTCAAGCACCAGTTAGAACCCTGGAGAACATGAGCTTCTTCAGCAAAATAAAACTGGTTCAGTTCAACTTAAACCTCTTATCCTCTTCATGGAGACTTGATTTTGATATGCAACTTTAAAGTCCTATTAAAAAATGCAATTACTAATTATAGAAAAGCAATGTCTGGTTGTTATGTGTATGAGGACGTGCAAATCTTAAATAACCGGAAGGTTAAAGTCATATGAAGTGTTTGCACACTGTCAAAAACAAATAAACATATATACAGTGGGTACAGAAAGTATTCAGATCCTCATTCACTTTTTGATATATTACAGCCATCAATTAAAATCAACTAGAATCAATTAAATTCATTTTTCCTCATTAATGTCCACACAACACCCCGTGTTGACAGAAAAACACAAAGTTTTAGAAATTTCTGCAGATTTATTGAAAAAGAAAAGCTGAAATATCGCAGTCCTATTCAGGACTCAGCAGAAGCACCCTTTAGAGCTAATACAGCCGTGAGGCTTCTTGGTTAAGATGCAACAAGTTTCTTACACCTGGATGTGGGACCATCTGCCATTTCTCCTTGCAGATCCTCTCCAGCTGTGTCAGGTTGGATGGTGAACGTTGGTGGACAGCCATTTTTAGGTCTTTCCAGAGATGCTCAGTTGGGTTTAAGTCAGGGCTCTGGCTGGGCCATTCAAGAACAGTCTCAGAGTTGCCGGGAAGCCACTCCTTCATTATTTTAGCTGTGTGCTTAGGATTGTTTCCATGTTGGAAGGTAAACCTTCGGCCCAGTCTGAGGTCCTGAGCATATCCCTGTACTTGGCCACATTCATCGTTACCTTGATTGCAACCAGTCGTCCTGTCCCTGCAGCTATAAAACACCCCCACAGCATGATGCTGCCATCCCCATGCTTCACTATGGGGACTAAATAAGACAAGTGATGAGCAGTGCCTGGTTTTCTCCACACATACCACTTAAAATTAAGGCCAAAAAGTTTTATCTTGTCTCATCAGACCAGAGAATCTTATTTCTCACCATCTCTGGTTTCTTCAGGTGTCTTTTAGCAAACTTCTGTGTTTTCATGGGTGCGGTGTGTACATTAATGAGGGGAAAAAATTAATTTAATTGATTTTAGCAAATATAAGCAGCAATATAACAAAAAGTGGAAAATTGAGTACTTTCCGTGCCCACTGTATATAGAGGGATGACATGGAGCAGCTTGAAGAATACTTCGTGGAAAAACTCTAAAAATATGAAAGTTTTATTTACCCATGACTGGAGGAGTGAAAAGATACGCAGCAAGTGCTTTATTTGTGAACAAAAATGAAGGGAAACGTGGGTTTAGAGGTTGGAATTGAAGCTCAGTGTGCCGGTGCGCACAAGGGGAGGGGCCGCTGGGAGCGCCGGACGGCAGCTTGATTATAAGGGAAGACGCCGCAAGAGGCAGAGAGGGATGGAGGACAGATGAGAGGAGCTGGGTGAGCTCCTGGCTGCATCTGAGCATGGCAGCTACGCTGTTCTTGTGTTGAGTAAAGCTGAGTTAGTGAAGCTAAAAGTGTGTGTCCAAGTGTGTGAACCCTGGTGTAACTGGTTATGCTAAAGTGGTACCCAACGTGAGGCTCACACACACCTCCCTGACAGGCAGAGGACTACGACACCATGCATCCGCCAGCCCACTACGCACCAGCCCTGCCATCTGTTCGCAGTATTAGGACAGATGTTGGCGGACACCACAAGGCTGAACCGTGAGGCCATGGAACGCTGGAATGGGTGGATGGAGAAACTGCAGACAAATGGAGCAGCAGATGGAGGTTCTGTGGTGGTTGGCTACCCAGACCAGGGAATTGGTGCAGGTCACCACGGCATGTGACCACACCTCCATTCTGGAGCAGCAGTGGGGGGACCCTAGCAGGGGACCCTAGCGGAGGAACACTCAGTGGACCAGAGGCCTGACAAGACACTGGAATGGCTAATCTCTGTGCCGCGCCAACGCAGACTTCCTGCTGGTACGGAGGGACTCGAAAGGACAACGGCGCAATCTGCCAACACTTAGAGAATGGAGGCCCTTGACACGGACCTGCCCCCTCACAGCTGGAAATGCAGCAAGGCAGGGCTGGGATGGCAGGACTGCCTGTCTTGGGAACACACCAGCAAGCCAAACATGAAGTACACGTGAGACCCTGTTCTGGAAATCAAGAATACAACGGACCCTAGAGTTAAGGCGACCTGAGCCCCACCAATGCAGGGAGCACAGCTGGTCCGGGGAGGCTTCTTTCCCCTGCACCGGGGCAGTGGGGGTGAAGTGTCGTCCGGGGATGAGCCCGGCCTGGAGAAAGCAGTGGAGTGGCGGTACGCACAAGGGGAGGAGCTGCTGGGAGCCCGCAGGAGTGCACCGGGTGGCAATCAGCAATCATTATACGGGAAGACGTCACAAGAGACAGCGAGGGGCAGAGAGCAGCCGAGAATAGCTGGATCAGCTCCCAACTGCGTCTGAGCATGGCAGCTATGCTGTTCCTGTGTGTTGAATAAAGCTGTGTTGATGAAGCCGAAGGTGTGTGTGAACTCCAGTGTAGCTGGTTATGCTACCCTCCGTTTTTACAAAATCCTCAGTTGATAAATGACTAACTGTAGCATAATCCTTCCAAATTAAATCAGAATACAGATTGATTTGAATCCTCTGTTCAGTTATTGCAACCCAAATAAAGGATAAAGCAACAAACCAATCAAGCATGCAGCTTTTTCCATTGTCACTGGTTCCTTCTTTTATAAATGTTGCTTTGTTAAATCAACCTTGAGACGCTGCCGGCTGAACTGATCTTTAGATCAGTGGAAAGAGAACCTTAGGAAGATTTAACAATAGAACCAGGAAAGCCAACTTTTATGATCTACAGGCAGAAGGCCATGAAAGGAGTGTGGTCAGTTAAATGACGGGAATAATACTGGTTAGTAAAAACAAAGGAATTGTGAAATATAACTTTATAACAGCAGTAATAAAAACTGTGGGACATAATGATACGGGGGCTTTGGACACTTTGAAGAAATCTAGAAAAAAAACTTGCAGTCTAAAAGAGTTTGCTCCTGGCTATGGAAACATCCCCGACAGCTACAGCAACTCTGACTGCTGTTTTAGCAGGTATCTTAATTTTCTTCTGAAACATGTGTAGGAAATTTACTGCTTCATTTCATCTCGTCACAAAGGCGCACTCTGCACCTGGCGTTCCCCTTTTCTCTATTTGCAGCTTTCTCCCTTGTCTCTCAGGCCTCTTTTGGAAAATTGCAAAGCTAATGAGTTATCTCAGCTGTGACAGAAGCTCTTATCAGGCCTGTCGCCAGCCTTTAAGGTTCACGCCAGGTTACATGGCACAGCATTTCAGGGCTTCCCATCCTCCCCATAGGGCGAGGAGCAGCATGTCAGGTCTCTAACACCAGAGCCAACAACATAGACATTTACCTTCACAATGTTTGCCATCTCCTTTGTAGCCGGATTTGCAGATGCATTTATATGACTTTGGGGTGTTCTGACAAATGGCATCAATGCTGCAGTTGTCCAGCGCTTCTGCACATTCGTCCACATCTGGGAGAAAGACAAAGAAAGCAGCACCAAAGATTATTCATCTGATTGATGATATGAATAGTTCTGTACCCTTGACACATGCATTAAATATTTCAAATGTTTGTGGGTGATACTCTTTTAACTTTAATCTTATTTTTTGAGTTTGGTCATTTTGTAAGAAGAGCTGATGGAAATGTAATGGTCAGAACAAAAAACACAACATGTGCATCAAGCATGTTATAATGTGCAGTGATACAAGCACATATAGTAGTGTTTATATGTAGTGTTAATTGGGATCAGTTTTTGAATTTGATCTTAACTCATTCACTACCAATGACGACTAAAGTTGTCATTTGCATGTTTTCTACACTGTGTTCATCGGAGCGACCCCGCATCGTGAGAACAAACATGCCAGCTCTGAAGCCGATCTTCATCCACATACGTCACACGTCACGTGATCAGGAAGCAGAAAATCCATGTGTTAGGAGATCGTTTTGGGCCGCTGCTGTAAAATAAGTGAGGCGCGAACCACAAAAGCTTCTGCCGATCACAATTCGACAACGGATTATGAAAGAACGGACAGCGCTGGAAACGCGCAGATTCTGCCTGATGTAAGAGGTGAGTCTCTGCTTTGTTTTGACGTCGACATCGTCCTAGTGCCCAACGTTCTGTGACTCTTAAAAAACAGTAACAATGGTGAGAAATGCTGTTTACAGATCAGGAAACGGCGGGCAGTGAATGAGTTAATTTAGCAAAAATAAGGGCCTTTTATAAATGGAAGTACCTGAATATTCTACATTTCAACCCTAAAATATTATTAAGGTATATAAGAATATTGTTTTACATTTGTAACATTAAGTAGTAAATCAATTCAGATGACCTATTGAGCTGCCAAGTGTGTTCCAGTAACACGTGTATTTCTGGCTACTGGTTGACAGCTGCTCTATTTAGAGTGAACAGCGCCAATTCACTGGTTGACCTCCAAAACTCCTGGTTGAGAAACGGGTGCTATTCCACAGCAACATGTGACAAGACTGGTGACCAGCATGAGGAGTTGTGATTGCATATGGATCTTCCACACGTTACTGAGATCTCCGACAGCTTACACTCAATAAAACAGAAAAATAGCCAAATAATGTGTTGATTTATTCATTGTTACTTAGTGGCATATCTACGAGGGCCATCAAGAGGCCACAATATTTAGAGAGGGGCCAAGTATTAGACCAACATCCTTACACAAGATTTTATGCTAGAAATTCCTATCTGGCTCCTCAGTGCCACCGGGGTTTGGACTTGGAATTTCATCCACCTATAATCTGATCATCGCGCAAAGGATAGGAGAGTAACAGGTCAGGTGCACTTCAGGGGGCCAATGCCCTTGCCCTTAAAAACAACAATGTTGTTACTGTTGTAAAGTTCAATCATCCAATTCACCAAGTACCTCAGAACAAAAGTGAACGCCAACAGGAAAACATTGCAGCTCGTTTTTGGGTTGCTCCTCACGCATTTAGCTGTGTTTTTCATGTAATAGAGACACAATCCTGATAATTTGCACCTATTAGTAAAGATGAATAATCAGACTGCCAAATGATATAATATTAAAATTTTGACCCAGAAATCTAGACCAACCATAGCAAAAGATTTTTCTTTGCAGGGCGGCCTAGCCATGTTCCATTGTAGATTCAGCTGGTTTACCATTGGCCCAAACAGTTTTGTTTCTTGCCAATCACAGTTCTTGATGTTTGTAGAAAATGTTGGACAATAGAGAGCTACAATAGAGAGAAACTACTAAGATGGTGTTTGCTCAGGAATGGCACTTGTTTCATTTCAATTCAGTTCATTTATATAGCACCAAATCACGACAAGAGTCGTCTCACAAAGTAAACATTCCAATACAGGTCTGTTCAATAAGCCAATCAGAAAAAAGTGTCCTATATAAGGAACCCAGCAGGTTGCATTGAGTCACTGACTAGAGTCAGAGTCTTTTCAGCAATCCTCATACTAAGCAAGCATGTAGTAACTGTGGAGAGGAAAACTCCCTTTTAACAAAAAGAAACCTCCAGAGAATCCTGGCTGACTATAAGCAGCCATCCGCCACGACTCACTGGGGATGGAGACAGAGCACACAAACACACACACCCCGACACCCCTACACCCACACAGACACACTTATACACCAAGCATTGGCTACATTGTGATTTCTTAGTGGATATTCTATTTAGTGAGAGATACATTGTATTATCTTTATCTTAGTAAATCTACAATTAAACGAGTAAACTAGTAGTAGCTCATTCCATGTCAAAGAAAGTAAAATGTTATTATCAGGAGAGGGAGAATGTTTAAGTGGAAAGCAGCAGTGTGCTAGCTGATGGCCCCCTCCATGAGGCCCCCACAGCTCAGCAGAACACCATTGTAGCTTCTTCTGGGGGGGGGATACTTAGAGAGAAAATAAAGTTAACAGCTGAAATTGCAGGAAATAATGCAGTTAGGGACAAGTGGTAGAAGAAACTAGTAGTGTGTGGAAAGTGGTCAGTATGTCCTCCAGCAGTCTAAGCCTATAGCAGCATAACTACAGAGATAACTCTGGATAACCTAGACTTTTAGATAGAGGCATGTTGGGGACAAGGCAAGGGAGAGCCGTCCTCACCGACTGTACACTCCACCTCCCTCTACTCCCCTGCTCATCCAGATCTAGGCTAACATCAGATTTTAACCATAGGCCCTATCAAATAAAAATGTTTTAAGCCTTGTCTTAAAAGTAGACAAGGTGCCTCACGGACTAAAGCTGGCTGGTTCCACAAATGCGGAGCCTGATAGCTAAAAGATCTGCCTCCCACAGGATTCTAGGAACCACCAGTAAACCTGCAGTCTGAGAGCAAAGTGCTTTGTTTTCTTGCTTTGCTTGTTTGAAAGGGTTTTGTCAACAACTATAAATGATGTACACACAGGCTGTTATTTGAGACATGAGCAGATCCAGATACTTAAGTATTTTTAAAAGGATATATTTGATTCTTCTTGTCATTTTCCTTCTTCTTCTTCTTACTTCTTTTTCTTCTTCTTCCTTCTTTTTCCTCTTCTTCCTCTTCTTCTTCCTTCTTTTTCCTCTTTTTCTTCTTCTTCTTCCTTCTTTTTCCTCTTTTTCTTCTTCTTCTTCCTCTTCTTCTTCTTCTTCTTTTTCCTCTTCTTCTTCTTCTTTTTCCTCTTCTTCTTCTTTTTCTTCTTCTTCTTCTTTTTCCTCTTCTTCTTCTTCTTTTTCCTCTTCTTCTTCTTCTTTTTCCTCTTCTTCTTCTTCTTCTTTTTCCTCTTCTTCTTCTTCTTTTTCTTCTTCTTCTTCTTCTTTTTCTTCTTCTTCTTCTTCTTCTTCTTCTTCTTCTTCTTCTTCTTCTTCTTTTTCTTCTTCTTCTTCTTCTTCTTCTTCTTCTTCTTCTTCTTCTTCTTCTTCTTCTTCTTCTTCTTCTTCTTCTATGATGCATGCCAGACTGCACTGATGACTGATTTTCGTTGCAATTAATGCTTCACGATATTTGTTGCTCAGGTTGGTGCCAGTGCTGTCCGATTGCATGTGGAGACAGGTTTAAAGACAACATGGATTCTGCTCCACAACGTGGTTGTTTCAACAGGTCGTGGCCAGACTAAATATTAACATATTGTTTGCCAGGCTAAATTTTGACAGTAATGGTAAAAAAAGCATTGCTTGTAGGATTCTTAAAACAGTATAAATATTTGTATTGTATAGCATGCAATAAAAATTTAATGAGATAGTTCTGCTGGATCAAAACCAATGTCAAAAACAATTTTTCACAATTTTTATTGACAGAAAGGACAAAAAATGCATTAATAAAATGCTGTTTGTAAAAGTTTACACATTTTGTGTGTGCAAACTTTATTAGATGAAAACACATTGCAGCACTAGCTTTACTCAGAGCTGAACCAACATCTCCTTACATCTTTCCACTACACAAACATAAATGTCTGGTTTGGACTCAGTGGATGAGGAAGCTGCTTGACTCAGTTTGAATTACAAAGAAGACAATGTGAAAAAAACAAAGTGGAAATGGAATTAATCAGATGCATGATCAAGTTTGCTTTCATGGAGCTCCTAATCCCACCAGATCCCAGTTAACCAACCCAGGTGTTTAGGATTACCTCCCCTCCACACAGGAGAGGGGAAGCTTACCGAGGTTTACATAGCTCTCAGAATTCACTCTTATCAGAAGGCCTCTGCAGGAGCTGCCTGATCCCAAAGGGAAATGACCTACAACCCAAACCTCTGAGATTATCCCTGCCTGTTCCTACAGGTCATAAAGTCTGACCGCAAAAGGAAGAATGACAGCTTTCGATTTCTTACTAAACAGTATGTAATAAACATTTAAAAATAAAAGGCAAAAACAAGGTAATCAAAGAAAAATGAACGGATAGACTAATAGTCAGGGTATTGCTGCAGGGGAGCTGGAATTCAGTAGGACAAAGATTTCGGCTATCACACAAGAAAATTCTTTTTTTTCTGACAAATATCGACAGTTTTACTTTACAGTATGAAAGAAAATAAATGTCAGAATCTAGGTTTTGTCTATAAGAGAGTATTTGCCAACATACAAGCAATTTTGTAAGAGCACAATTAAATATGCATTTAGATTTGAGCTAATGAATTAACATACTTAAATTTAGGTTAATAAAGTGTCTCTGTCCCTGGTCCATGTCCTCAGAACAATATCCTTACATATGGAAAAGACTGGATAATTATGGTAACATGTAAAGTACTTAAAATGTTTAATATTTGCAGCATTTTTTTTTATTAATCTCAAAGTAGTTTGAACTGGTTTATGCCTCATTAATGCAATGCATTAATGCTGTAATGTGGTTATTTTCATTTTTAGACACTTTTAGTTTCTACAGTGCAAAACTGTTTGTTTTCGTTAAATTTAAAAATTGAACCCTAACTTACAGGGTGTGTATTAAAATGCATTGGTAGATTAATACTGCACACATTGGAATTTCAATCCAGTTCAGCCCTTTTAGTG